CTGAACAAGAAGCCTGTGGACCTTTATCGAAGAACCATCCTGCTGCCTGAGACATAGGGCCAGCCCAGGCTATATGGCGGAGTGAAGGGTGCAGGTGTGATGCAAACAGAGGCCCCACGTGGAGAACAGCCTTTGCCTAACAAGGGCCCTACTGCTGCGCCGTGGCCTGACCCTGCGTGCAGGGCGCTGGGGTGACGTGGAGCCACTTCAAGGAGCCTGTGAGGAGCAGAACCCTTCGATGAGCAAGAGGCCTGGCTTTAGGATGGCCCGTCGCGGCAGCTCGCTGGGCTCCTTTGAGCAGCTATCTTGGAGCAAGTCGGTCCATCTGTGCCTCATTCAGCATCCACGCGCTGTGTCACAGACTAGATCCACAAGCATTTGGTATGGTTGGCCTTGGCCTCCAGAAAGGGCCTTTCATATCAACCATGGTCAATAATGCCACAATGAAGGAAAAGCAAGACGTTTCTCCCAGACTGGAGGTCAAACAGCAGCTAACGCTTACACTGTGTCTCTTTATCCCCTGGCTAGCGTGCAACTGTGGCCGGCGCCTTTGTGAGGAGATGACGGGGAAGTGCCTCTGCCCTCCGCGCACAGTCAGGCCCCAGTGTGAAGTGTGCGAGACACATTCCTTCAGCTTCCACCCCCTGGCTGGTTGCGAAGGCTGCAACTGCTCCAGGAGCGGCACTGCTGCTGGGGCTGCCACACCAGAGTGCGACAGGGACCATGGGCAGTGCAGGTGAGCTCAGGTGGATTCACTTGTTAAGTCCTATTATGAGAGCGAAAGATGCCCTCTGCCCACACACCTGTCATCGTTACTTCCCGATTCTTACGGGTCCAAGGCCTGCACTGTGTTCACCTCAGGGTGCAGCTCCCTACCCAGAATCGGTTATGTGTCTGGAGTAACTGGACCCCTTAGGTAGCCCAGCAGAGCCTGGGTGGTCAGATGACTAGTCACCTGAGGCCACAAGCTGCCTTGCCCGTTCACTCCAGCATCCTTCTCAGTGTGTGTCATGATAATTAAGTTATCATTTTCTTCTTCAGTGTCACCTTGTGGTGGGTACTTATCCATTTGTAGGTAGGGATGGGCTCCACACCTTCATTCTAGGGTTAGCTGGCAGTTTTGTTAAGGACAGTGCATGTCAAAGTCTGAAATCCTTAGGCCTGCCTCCCTAACTCAGCTGGGCCAGGTGGGCCTCCACAGTGGGGGTTGTTTGGGAGTGGGGAGGGAGGCAGGGTGGGGAGATACATGCTAGAGAGCCTGTCTCAGAATGAGGCTGCCCC